TATAACAACTTATTGAGATCTCATCACCTTAGTATTTTCAGGTACGTACCCCTCTCATGAGGTTTCATGAAGTGTTCTGTCTAAAGATCTTCAAGAGCTCATTGCCTCCTTATTATGATTATTTTGATTATTTGATACTCACCCTTTTCAAGATTATTTTACTTAGATTCGATTAGTCTATCATGTTTCATGCATCCCCTAGACTCTATCCTTTAGAAACATTCAATAGGAGCATTTACAACTCTTATGTTGCTTCTTAGCTCCCCTTATATTAGACAAACTATGATATATTTTAATCTATGCTGGAGAATCCATCTTTGTGCATCATAGAATATTCAATAATCATATAATACACATCAAAATTTTCATATGAAAAATATTTGATGCCTGGCCATAAACCAATTAAGATAAACTTAATCATAATTTATTATTCTAATGGGTACAATTACTTTTTTTATGCAATATCGTATTTCAAATCAACACATAAAGCTTTATTTTTGTAATCAATGATTTCCTATATGACACATTTAATGTCATATCATCTTGAACACTTATCAATATTATCAAGATAAAATGTATTGATTACATATTCTGAATGTTGTGTTCTTAACTCAATTATCTTGCACAAACAATTTTGCGAATGTCAAACTCCAGTTAACAACAAACGCACATGTGATTATCTCATATATCTCTTTATCATATCACATAATAGGTGAACGAGCTCATATTCATCTTTTATACTTTTTCAGAATTTAGTCTCAATATTAGTTGACCCAATCAACTTGTCATGAGAATAAACAACAAAATTCTTCAAGAGTCTTAAAGTTCTTCAATGTATATCTATTACTCAGTATGCACATCTTTAGGACGACCAAATCATTCATGCCAACTAATAAAATTATTATTACTTGTAAACATCAAATTTACTATGTCATGTGCCTTTTGCTTTATTAAATTTCTAATTTACTATTATATGAGTAAATTTCAATTTTATTACTCCGGGAGTAAATTATTTTATTTCTTCACCGTTATTCTACCCCTTATAGAGGTGAGTCGTGATCTCATCACTTAACAAACTAATCTGCTTATCAGAAAAATGTGTACGTAATCATATTATTTGTGCTTATATTTTTGCAAACATCAAGTTGCAAGATAACAATAGGCACATGAAACCATCTAGAAGTATCATCTATTAGGACCATGAAGTATCTAAACCACCCACTATGTGAGTTCATAGGTCCACAAATATTCCTTTATATATGTTCCAAGAATGTGGTGGACTCATTTCCATTGATGATGGTCTAATCATTAACTTGTCTTGATAACAAGCAATGTAAGAAAGTTCACCATTTAAAAGAATCATTAGATTCTTTAATGAATGTTCATTTTAATTATCTATAATTTGTCTTGTCATTATTTGTCCATGATGTCCTATACAATCATGCAAAAGTAAGAAAAATATTGGAATTAGTATAGAATGTGTCTCGATTGCACTAATTATATCCAATAAAAATCGAAAGATAAAGTATGAAACTTTTTGTTAACATATGTCTGTCAAGAGACATTCTTGATGATACCACATCTACAACCAAAGATCACGATCTTTCCCATGATTAGCATGGTGGTTTATACTTCATTCATTTTAGAGAATAAATCTATAATTTTAACATTTATCAAAAGTTCTCATTCTTCATGATTGGAACGCACATATGGGAGCATATCAAATTATGAGTGTTAGTACCTCATTCTATATTCATGTGCATTATTCAATCACTTGTTGTGGTTGGACGTAAATCCATCGTCTTACCCTTTTAAATGTCATTGGACATAGATCTGTTGTCTTACCCTTTTAATGAACTGGAATTGAATCCATCATCTTACCCTTTTGATGCGATTAGACATAGATCCAACGTCTTACCCTTTTGATGCGATGGAAATTGAACCCATCATCTTATTCTCAATTGAGACTCACCTGAGTCTACGATAATACTATACCACATCAACTATAATACTCTTTTTGAATTAACTGATCATATATAGTTAAGATAATAAGATTTATAATTTTCTAATTATAATTAAACATGTACAGATGCTGATAATAGAAAAATGTTCAATCACTGCTACCGTCTCTTTTCAGTTAACATGCGATCATCCCATAATTTTATTTTCTCAAGTAATTTGTAGAATATCAAAATTGAAAATACATGTTAATAAAGGGATTTCTTAAACAAAACCTATTTGCAGCATACATAAAAGTCCATAATGCCATAATCCAAAAAATATTATATTTTGATTACAGAAAGGGCTGAAAATAGACCACCGTAGTGATACATAATTACAAACAAAATATAAAATTAAATCGAACATTTAAAAGAATGCATAGTAGTGGTACTGGCAATTTATCTTGTTCTGAAAGAGAGAAATACACACAATCTTGTGACGATAAAGTTAGATAGAAGTGGCTTGTGTTACTCTTTTATTTTAGTGACTTATAAAACTTTTGTAATATCACAAGGTATACACTATGATGTCTGGCACTTCAAAATATACTATAGACACATACATACCTAGTAAGAATTAGATCTACTTCTATGAATACTAGCATACTATCATTTTACTTTATCTTCAACAATGTTAGTTCGATCAATCTGAATAATCTAAACTTAATTATTAAATTTGAGACTCGTGTTGATAACGTGTTATGAAACTATATACAATATAGAAGAAGAACAAAGTAGGGAAAGGAGAGAGAAAAATTGTTCTTCTTCTTGAATGATATCTAGGGTTCCACATATTTGATTTACAATGAAGGAAAACCTCTTTATTTATATGGGAAACCTAACTTGGTCCCCAAGTCAGATTCTTAATTACTCCCTAAAAGGACTACAATACACAATAGACATTCACTATAATACAAGTATGTTTATAACAAATCAAGTAAATTCTAATTAATATCATTTTGTTAAAATTCTATTCACTTCTATTTTAATTCAAATGTTTCCTTCTAGATATCCCTTTCTCTAAAATAAAAAATAAAAAAAAAATATGGAATTTTAATAATTATTTTCTCAAAGATAATCAAATTTGTAATTTATTATTTTTATGTTAAATCATTTTTTCCAAAAGTAGTAAAATATTTAGCCTAAGTCGTAGGATATCAGTGTCTTAGGGGACGTTTCAAATACCTTAAAACCCTTCTTTAAACTTAATCTTTTAAAATTAAATTTTCTTAATTTCCTTTAAAAATTAAGTGGCGACTCCTTTCTAAGTATTTTTTTCAAATTACACTTAGAACATTTAAAAAAGTGATTTTCTTAAAGATAGTAAAATTATGGCATAACAGGATGCACTAGACGAATGAATCCTTTATCAAGAAACTCTTTGATTTAAGCCTTAAGCTCTCTTAATTCCGCCAAAGTTATACGATAAGGAAGAATAGAAATAGGTAGGTTAGCAAGTTTCAAGTCAATACAGAAATTTATATCTTTATCTGGAGGCATACCAAACAAATTAGTAGGGAGCTGTTCTCTAAATTCTGACACCATAAGGTTAGTAGGGAGCTCTTCTCTATATTCTGACACCAATAAGGATAGACTCAATAGAGGAAGATTCAACCTCAACATCCCGATATGAGTTGAATAAAATAACCATGCCCCAATAGCTTTCTATTCCGAATGGAGGATATGATCTTACCTAGTTAGGCTTGTACACACCCATGCACTCTAATTTTTCCCTACCAGGATCTCTAGAGTCACATACTTAGTATTACAATTAAGCACAACATAACAGGGGGACAACCAAGTCATACCTAAGATGATATCGAAGTTAGTCATATCCAATATAACCAAATCATCACAAGTCTCAAACCCCATAAGCAAGATTAGACAAGCACAATAGACATGTGTGACTATGACAGACTCTCTAACTAGGCAGAAACATAGATGGGGGAATCAAGTATATCATAAATCATATCAAATTATGAGGTAAATCACACAAACATATAAGAGTAAGTAGAACCCGGACAAATTAACACATTATCCATCTGGTCACAGACAAGAATAGTACATGTGATCACCACGTCAGAAGACCATGCCTCGCTCTCGCCCAGAAAGGCGTAACACTGAGCTCTATCATCTTGACGGGAGACTTCCCTATCTCGCTGCGCTGTAGTTTTGCCAGCTTTACGATTTCCTCGACCTCCACGACCTTGTTGATTTCCTCCTCTCTGACATTGTTGACGACCTCGACCATTATTAACATTCCACGTGGGTACCACTGTTCTAGATTTCTATTGTGCATGTGGGGACAATCTCTCCTAATATGCCCAGGTTCTCCACAGTTATAACGAGTACGATCAAAATATTGCTTGCTACCCGCCGAAGGTGTGACTTCCTGCTATCCTGAATTAAATTTTGAGGTGGATTTCCCAAGTAATTACCTATAGAGGCGGATAGCAGACTGAATTGGTGGCTTTAAGTGTTGGCCTACTTGATCATCTAGAGTAAGAGCCCTAAAAGTTTACTGAGTTCTTTTTTTCTTACACATTGCCTTATCATACCCCTCTCGCCTCACCCCCTCCACTTTCTTCACAAATCTATTACCTCATTAAAACTTTTTCCTACAGAAGTCATGTGCGCAAAAAATACTCAGAATTCAGTCCCTCAACAAAACAAAAATGGATCCTCTCTTCCTTAGTAGTCACCAATTGCGAGCATATCTCGACAAATCATGAAACTTAACCTCGTAGCAGCCACGAACATACCACCTTGATTCAAATCCATAAACTTTTCATTCTTACGATCCCTCAAAGTTTGAGGCACATAAGTTTCCATAAACAGAGCATGAAATTGTGCCCAAGTGAGTCGGGCTAGAGTTGACAATCTACATTCCATATAAGCTCTCTACCATTGCTTAGTCACACACTAAAGCTGGAAAGTCATGAATCAATACACCACAAGTTGATGTACAATACCTAACTTATGCAGCTTCACATAAAAATCTAAAATAAACTCATAAGCATCCTCATTTTCAAAACCAAGAAACACTGGATGCTTTAGTTTGAAAAATATGTCATGCTCATTCCCAATCATCATACGACCCAACAAAGGACGAAAAAAAATAAATACATAATGTCGTATCTCCCCTTAGACAAGTAATAGTAGCAAGGTGATTAATTGGGGGTTGAGTTGTTTGCCCTGCTTGAAGGATTCCATGACCAACCAATCCCTTAAGAAAAGTCATGATATTCTAAGATAACATTGGATCTAAGGGAGGGACGCCAGTATTCCCAGTTGGTGTATCCTCTTCCTATCCAACATCCTCCTCGTCTCCATTATCCACATTTTCTCTACCTCTTCATGATGTGAGGGAGGAACATCACCTCTAGTTGCATTCACAACTGGTTCTCCACTCCAAGTAAGTGCAACCCATCTTCAGCCTTTGCCTCTTCCTCTGTCCCTGCCTTGACCGAAACCTCTGGTTGCGACCCACAGTTGGTTCATTGACGAGAGCTACGGGTCTCACGCGTTGAATCTAGTTTTAACCTTCTCGAGCACAGAAGAATGAAGGAGATTAGATACCAATTTGTATTACCAGAAACCAGTTGGAACAAAGTTATAGCACGAAAGGAGACAATAGAAAATAAAGAGATTTTCTAAAGTCATGTGGCCTCTTGAAGAAAATTACAGGCATTTTTGTGTCGTTCAGCAACTCTGCTAGACTTGTTTTGGTACATCGAGATCAATGAACCTAGGCTATGATACAAACTTTTTCACGATCCAGACCGTCGTAAGTGACACCAACATTAACCCGCCTGTGGGAGAACCATAATCACTAATCAAATAACCTCAAACTAAGAATTTATATATACGGAAGTAGGTTTAAATGCAGAAAACTAAAGTTCCCATAAACTTCCAAAGGATGTAACAACGACTAACAAACTAATGCTAAAATAAATTCTCTATAACCTGAAAGTCAATGTACAAAAATTCTAACAAGGAACCACCAGTCTAAAGGAAATTGGTATAACCCAACTAAACATAAGAAAATCTAAAGTACTAGACTTAATAGAAACGGACTAAACATAACGAAAACTCAAGGCAACCAGTATGAAATGGATCACCCTTGAATTCAAATCGATCAGTAGTCTTATAAATGAGGTTTGTCAATAGCCACGTGAAAATTTCTTATACTCAACAAAGAAAGAGAAAGTGCAGTATCAGTATATAACCATAGTGATCTGGTAGGATAATGCAGTTAGCCCACTAAGTTCAATATAAGAAAAACACATGTTCCATATTAGTGTGCCTATTTGTGACACCCAATTTAGAGTTTATGTCAATACATGGCAACGGATCCCACTTAGTGTGTCGGTTCATGACACCCAATCCATTCAACATGCAACAATCACAATTACAATGTACATTGACAAAATCATACAATAAAGAGGTGATTCATGACCTATAGCTATTCATTCATACTCATTTAAGATTACTGTAATCAACAATGCAACATTCACGTACATACACGTAATATAATGAAGCAAGTACAAACATTTATCACAAACATGGATTTAGAACCATCAGCTACCTCGAACAAGCCTTGAATCCCCTAAGAAACTTGATTCTTCCCTTTCCAAATACTTTCCTCTTGCTCTAGTTCTACAAACAAACAATTAAATATGATTATCAATAATTAAGGTCTAATATACCTGGATTACAGCTAACCCAATGACTCAAGACCCATATTATGATCCTAAGGTGCATCTAGGGTTTTTACATCCATCCAAAACTATTCAAAACCCTGCCAAATAATATACAGTTACGATTTTACATTCTAGTGATCGTAAAATGGAATCGAAAAGAGAAAACCTTACCTTTAACAACAAATTTCGTGGAAAAGTTTCAAGAACTTGTCTGGGATCGTAACCTAGCTCTCAAAAAAGGAAATGACAGAATAATGACGTTTTTGGGGTTTATTACTGACTTATTTTGCAATTGTCCCATTGTGGCGGCCCTCACTCTACTACAACGGCCCTGCCCTAGCGGCACTAATCCTGTCATAACGGCTTGAATGGAGACAAAAAGTAAATTTAAAAGTTCCAAACCCCCATTTCACAACACACCTTCATCACACAACACTCAAAAAAATACTCGTTCACACTAAGATAAATTTTGGGAGTTCTACTCGCCCGAATTCAATTTTATAAAGTCGTACCGTTTCCTTAACGTCTTAGCTTTCTGCTCATATGGTCAAATTCACAATTAGAACCCCCCCCCCCCCCACACACACACACACACCCCACCCCACCCTGTTTGTTACTAGATTCCCTAGACCTTACTGACTCCAATTTCATCCAAATCTGACTAGGCTGGGAAATTTTAAGTTACTACCAAAAAGTTTTCCGATCCAAAATCTTTCCCAAGTGGATTTTCCATAATGAAGGAAACAAGTTGTTACAGTCGCAGTCGCAGGAATATGTTATGAAAATGATTCACTTTTAAGGATCATTTGGTTGCTAGTTAGAGTTATGCATATATTAATAATGTGGGTATTAGTTATGCACGCAATAGTAATGAAGGTATTAGTAATGCATGTATTAGCTATGCAGGTATTGGTTATGTAGGGTTTAATTATGAAGAGTATAGTTATGTAGAGTTTAATTATTTTTTTGGTTGTTGGTTTGTTATATTTAAAATCAATTAAATATTATATACTTGTTAAAAATAAATTATTTTATTGTAACATCTTAGACCTTTCTTACCCTTGTATTTTTATTTATTTTTTGCATTTGGGTTAGGCAAAGCTTTAGGCAGAAAGTTGAATGCAACATTTTTCAACTTCCTCGTATAGTTGAACCAACATATATATATGACACGTGTTAACACGGGGCCAACATTATAATGTTTGAAACTTATTGATATGCTAGTACATACAATTATGTGTACATATAATATAACAAAAATAGATACATATAAGTTAACATATGAGCAACATCGTCTACTAATGCTAGATATTATATTTGGAGTCTTTACATCAATAATCTAGAATATAGAAATGAGGAAGTTTGTTTTTATTCTATTGGATAACGGATATCATATTTACAAAAGTCTTGGCAAGAACTAGTGGAAGTTCCAGGAGACCTTACTTCAAGCAAAGCCATTGATATGCACATTGCTAGATATGGCTTAATTCCAATGGCAAGAACCATGGATAGAGGATGCTTACTTCCGACAGAACAATATGTTACTGGACACTATCCTCAACAATTATTGACATTGTCCTCATCCACAGATAACATCCTCAACAATTTGAATGTCTACTTAATTTCAAATAATAATGGAGTACATTATATCGAAATTTCAGTTTCGCCATACTAAATAATTTGTCCAGTTACAATTTTCACATACTGCCATATCCTAAAATTGAGAGTCCATTGTTCAAGCAACAAGATAGTGAGATAATAGATTTATAAAATGAAGAATACAACAAATCTAACACATACCATTGACAAAAACTTGAAATCCTAGTATCGTGGCCTCACGGAATGAAACTAAACTCGCCTTTATTAAACATGAAAGAAACTTACATAATTCGTTGTTTAAATAATACAAAATGGCACATAAAACATAGGCAAAATAAAAGTAAACTAGGCCATGGTTATACCTTAAAAAGTAGCTACATCAAAAATAATTCAAAGGTTTAAAGTTTATCATCAATAATCATTCATACCATAGTGTAACGATCAAGTTCATTGATGCTTAAAAAGCACTCCATGAACTTGCAAAATATCTTTTCCCAATCAGAAAATAATGGTCATTTCTTAAATGTCATTCACTTGGCATATGTATTAACCAAAGAAATTAAGAAACAAGTATATAAAGTAACTGACTATATTCTAAACATAGATCATATTCACCAAGGAAAATATAAGTAACTAGCTTTAGTTTACTAATAATTTAAACAATTGTAATTCACCTTTATGAAGTCATCCCAAGATTTTGGATCGTCAACTAAGATAGTTCCATCGATATATCGAAATCCTAAGTCACTTCGACTTTTTACAACCTATATGGTCATATAATGCTTTTTCCACCCTCTTATTTTTTTTGAAAATTCTTTGGTATAGCTTGCAATCCGCAATTCGGATGACCAACATTCATGTGTTGTTCTAATTAAATCAAATATCCATCTTTAAAGGTGTCATTATCTTCTTTCCAATCATCAGCACACAACTTTTTTAATCCACCAACAACAGTGAGTTCCTCTTCTTGAGTCCGCACCCTTGTTGCCCTTTGTTGAGACATATTAGACCTTTTAGTGGGACTGCCAATTTTAATATGTAAGAATGTAAAAATACAATTCATACTAACTTATTTTCACATATATTGCATTTGTCTCTCACCATATTTACAAGAGAAAAAAACAATATGATAAGAAGAAGAAGAAGAAAGCATAAGAAAAAGTTAAGCTTTCAAAAGTTTTTATTGTTTCGATTCGATTTTATTATTTTGGTTCGATTTTGTTATTTCGATTTTTTGATGGCCTGTTTAGTGGAAATTTTAAAATGAAAGAAGAAATACAAACTTGATGGTGGATTGGTGGTCGCCCCCCCGCCGGAAGTCGGCTGTGCTGACTAGTGCCGCCTACCGTAGTGTCGATGCCTGCTGGTTGACTGGTGGCTGCTGCTGCTGCTTGAGGTTGCTGCCTCGCTGGTCGCCGGTCACCGGAAAACGGATGGAATGAGTCGTTGGTCGCTGTAGGTGGGAAAGTTGAAAGGAAGATGAATTGGTGTACTTTGGAGTTTTGTGATAGGTGTGGGTCTCTATAAAGTGGATATTGGAAAAATAAAAAGTAAGTAAAGTTTGACCTACTTTTAGTCTTTTACTTTTCAGTTTTTTATTTTAAATTATAATATTATTATTTAACATTAATAATAAATATAATATAATATATTTCGGTAAACCAAAATATCGAATAACACAAAATTACATATCAAAAATACTAAAAAATATAAAACATATACCGAATACCAAGTCGAAAATCGAAATATCAAAAAAAATTGGTTTGGTTCGGTATTTTTGTTTTCCGATGTTTATGCTCAGCCCTACTAGAAGTGACACGTCGTACTTGACTCCGAAGGGGTCGCATATAAGCCTCTAGCATCATCATAACATAAGACAGAATAATGCGGAAAATTTAAAACTTTTACGATAGAAGTAAAACTTCATTTTCATAAACAAGTCATAAGAATATAGATTTTGTCTCATTTACCTTCTAAATATAGGAATACAAAGTTTAAGGCTTAGAACTTTACGTTAATAAAAGTCTTAAAATAAGAGAAGCACAATTCGAACTAAGAAATGGGAATTCTTCCTCAAACTTGAGGACTCACCACAACTTGGAGATAAGCAATTCAAGTGTTCATCAAGAAAGGAGAGTGTGTGTCACCTAGCTGAATCGTACACTTATCAAAATGTAGAGGAATAAATGGTTAGCACAAAATTGTACTAAGTACGAAAACATGCATAAAATCCTTAAAATATGATAAAAAAGACATTGTAGTTGAAAGGAATTCATTTATCAAGTTTGGAAATCAAGATGAAATTTCAATGTCAAAGACAAGCCATAATGACATTTATATTCTCAACATAATAATATCAACACCTTAGCAACCCCTACAGAACATTTGTGCAATTTATAATTGGCATCACATATTACCAACCATACCAAGTACTCCTTTGAAGCTACTTTATTCATACATATCATCTTTAGACCTCATCATAATCAATAGACATCAATAAGGAAATATATAGTTATGTACATTACTTAAACATAAGGAAAGTCAATCACAACTACTATCCATTATACATACATGTATACATTCATATCTCATCATAACATAAAAGAACCATCCCATAACATCCTACTAAGTTTACTTGTGCAATGTGGAAGTGAAGTCCCATCCTCGAACTCTTACTTGTAAAAAATCACCAAGAAGTCATAGTATAGTTCATGTCTCATTTATTATCATATCATATAGAAAAGAGTATCCATAATCGACATAGACCATTTGAGCTACATGGTGTTGTGTAACCCCGCATTAAAAGAAGCTATCCTACTTGTCAAAGGTAGAACTAACATGTTTAGCTTTTAGATGGATCCACTATCTAAGGTCTCCTGTGGCACATATTATGGGATAAGGAGATTTATTCTAGAAACCCAACCTATTTTATAAGCAGAGGAGCTTCTATCTCATGAGTTCACTTAAATGACCAAACCTATTGCATTGGCGGAAGGGCCTTTACCTCATTGTCCATATCCACTCGGTGCTAAGCATTATTTCCCAAATTATACATAATTAGTCTTAAATCGCATTGCATGTGTGAAGGAATGCTCTACCCTTCATTCAATACAATTCATCAAAATAGCTCATTGATTCATTAAAGGTGAGGATGTACTGTCAACCTTTGAATAGTTATCAACATGTGAGTAGAACTTCCCCATTACATTCATAGTCTTTTCATGATAATTATTCATTCAATCAACACAACAATATTATCACCATCCAAGAAAATTCATACATGAATATGTGTAAAGGGTAAAGGGAGAATATAATACCTCAATTTACACAATGTTGACAAGATATTTACCTTTCAAGTGAATTGTAAGTTCACATACAACTATTATCAATCATGAACCAACCTTCACAATTTACCCCCTTCGAGGGTAACGAACCAAGTCTCACAATCACACTTAGATATTAAGCATGAATAAAAAAAATATTCAATAACTAGATTAACATGGGATCATTCATAGTAATCATCTTATATTAATACACTCATCACAATTCATGAAATTGGGGTCATGAGGTAGTTCATGGATGCATGGGGAACTTTAAAATAAAAATCACCATTAAACATCAAATCATCCATAATATAATTCAATTAACATAATCAAATCGTTCTAGGAAGAACCCATGGTTAGAATGAAAATCCTGATTTTTGAACAATATACTTAATTTCAGAATTAGAGTTGAAGGGCTTCATGGAGAAAAGTGTCCATGATTCAAGGTTCTGATACATTATTCAAGCTTTTCCCACGATATTGGATTTGAGAAGATGTATTCTTTATCCCTAACCTTCAAGTTCTTGGTGTTCTTCAATGGATGAACTTCTAGAGAAAGAAATATTGAGAGGAGAGGATTTTGGGGAAATATTTGGGTGTTTGTAAATAATGACCAAGTCTTGTGAATTTACTTAAATTTAATATGTATTTTACCCCTAAAATACTCAAAACACCCCCACTTTAATTGGAGTTAAGAAGTAAAGACTTAAATGACCCTCACATAAAGGACCTTGTCTAGGCTCAAGACCATCTTCACGAGTCGTGGTGAGGACCACAACTTGTGGTCCTCCTCGCGAAGATTGAGGCAGTAGCCCTTTCATGGTGACACAAGAATCACACACCCAAGGCATCACCACGAGGGGCTCCACGAGCCGTGGTGAAGACCACGAGTCGTGCTCCCTCTCGTGGTTCTTGAGGCAGTAGCCTTGCCACTTGGGCTTCAATTCTTTCTATTTCTTCAACAACATCTCCTGGACTTTCGGCAAACTCTTCAATAGCTCTATTATTGCAAAATATCTCTTCCCAGTCAACAAATAATGGACATTTCTCAAAGTTCATTGAGTTGGCATTTGGATTTCAACTAAGAAAACAAAGAACAAGTACATAAAGTAATTAGCAATATTCTAAAGAAAAAGATATATTAATAAAGAGAAAATATAAGTAAGTAGCAATTCTCCAATGATTTAAAAAAAAAAATCGTATCAAGTCATCCCGAGCTTTTGGATCATCAACTAAGATACTTCTATCACTATATTTGAATCCTAAACCACTTCGACTATTTAGTAATGATGTGGTTGCATAACTCTTTTTCCTTGCTAATATTATAGAATCAATACGTGGTAGAGATTTCAATCCATAATTAGGATGACGAACATTCATGTAGTAATTCCAATTCCATTAAATATCCATTTATAAAGGTTTCATCATCTCCTCTCGAACCATTAAAGCACAATTCTTTAAATTCATCCACAAGAGTAAGTTCCTCTTTTGGAGTCCATACCCTTCGAGATGAAGATGTTGATTTTCTTTCCCTCTTTCTAGACGTATTAGATGTTGCAGCAGTAGAACTAGTCATTTCAATCAGTAAAATCATAAATGAAATCACAAGTAATAGTAAGTTACAAATTACTAGTAAATGATTTCAAATATAACCAAATAAATTGTACTACAACTTGATTGATCCGGGGAAAAGATAATGTGAAGACATACATACAAATTCACTATTTATATTAAAAATAATAATAGATATTCATTGAGATTCACTATTTTTCTGTACAAACAGTAATATGAGACATAAAAAAGATTGACCATTCGTTTTCACAAAAAAAAATCTATTACATTTTACAACGAACGGAAAACCAAAAACAAAAGTGCATAAGCACACAAAATAGTGAACTCATAGTTCTAAATTATAAAGATCGATTTCCCAATCTTTCATTCCACATAGATTGAGCCAGCTCAACCCTCCAAGTGGTCCACTCATCAGAAGCTTCAATTGTATTAATATTTTCATATTCATGTTGATTCTACATGTGGAATTCTATTTCCACATCTAAGGGGTCAGCTTCCATCTCTCTTCTGATGAAATTGTGTATCAAACAACATGCACTAATAATTCAATTGTGAACCTTAACCGAGTACCACGAAGGACTTCTAAGAATTCTCCAGCGTCAATTTAATAGTTCAAATTCTCTTTCAATAACATTACGCATCCTATCATGCTTCATATTAAAAATCTCTTCTTGACGCCGAGGTGATGGATTGTTACCCTGCCAATCCTATAGCCAATATCGATATCCTCGATAGGAAGACTGAAAATCATCTCCATTTGTATATCCTCCATCGCACAAAATAGTAATTGCCTAAAAATGTAAATAATAATATAATTACTTTAAATTTTATGCTATTTTAATGTAGTAGAAATAGATAAGGGTCTACCTATTATTTATCATACCTTGAGGTACTTTCAACCCATTTTTTCATAGAACGACATCTTTCAATACACAACCATCAACGGTTGATTCCTCCTAACCATGTAATACATAAATAAAGTTGATTTTTCTATCGCAAACCCCCAAGACATTAGTTGTTATATCTCCTTTTCGTGTTTTGTATCTTGGCTTATATATTTCTTCAACTCTAGTGGAAATTTAAAACCATCTAATGCACCAAGACAACCATATAAGATAAATTCAACTCTAAATACTAAAGGACAATTAAAAATAAAAATACTTTCATCATATTATTTCATGTTTGTTTGTAGTAAATCAAATGTTATATTGAAATTTACCTACCTTAAATCATTTCCATCGATCGTTAGTATCATCTTCAAGCATCATATTAGGTTTAACAAGTAATACTGGTTCGACTTACACTCCAGCCAGATCTTATATAATCAACTTTGACAGACATGTTCTTCTGGAGATGAGCCAATATTTAAGAACATTGCTAACTTTTCCGTACTCGACATATTTTTACAGTCAGTCAACCCTCCAATATTCTTTGCTAAGGAGTCTAAAATGTCCAAGGCATTTCTATCCATCCTAAACTTGTCAATACATACAATATTATTATCGTGAATGAGAATATTTAGATGAGACAATTTTAAGAATTCTAGCACTCATACAAAATCAAATGACCCACCTATTTCTAAATTGTTTTTTTAATAACATGTTATAAATAGACATAAAAAGCAATTATGGACAATATACGA